TCTCTTCCCCGCCCTCCTCCCCCACCACCACCACCCCTTGCTGCTTCTGACACAGAGGCAGCGAGGTGGGGATGGAAGTAGTCAACTAGATTAACTGATAAGACTAGTCTTATCAGGTTGTTGACTATTTGCTTAATCCCTAAACATGAGAAGTAGCAATGGTCTCAAGATGCAGTGAAAGAGGTCTAGGTTAGATATTTCACTAGCAGGGTGCTGAAGCACTGGAATGGGTTGCCTAGAGAGGTGGCAATATCTTAATCTTTAGTGTTTTTTAAGGACAGGTTTGACAAGGCCCTGGCTGGAATGATATAGTTGAAGTTGGTCACTTTGAGCAGGAGGTTGGCTTAAAGGACCTTGTGAGGTCTCTTCCAACCCTAATCTTTTATGATATGGTTGCAAGGTAGTAACTTTATTCAGTGAAAACCTGGGACAAGAGAAGAGCAATAGTGAACTCATCTGATGCTGCAGATGATTAGCACCAGGCAAAACGTCAAACTATACATTTTAACTGATTCTAAATACCTTTATGATAGTATGGCATTTAAGACCATGACTATTCTATCAGTGGAGGCTATGTAGATTTTAATAACTTACATGCTCCTTGTGTTCTCATGGAAAGTGGATGATGCTGGTTTGATCAGAGTGGAATGTCATCTCCATCAAGTTAGTTGACTATGCTTTGCTCAGACTCTGCAATGTAGTGTATGACAAGGACCCTGTATATTATGTAGCTGAGATACTGGTATGTGATTCTACAGCTTTCATTTAAAAAAAATTTCTGACCCTCATGATTTTCAAGGTTATCATTGCAATATGAACAGAGTACAAATGGATGCTTACTTGAGTTGTAAGGTGCCTGAACCAAACTGACCTGTTAATACCACCAAGTTTGCAATAAAATCCAGTGTTGCGAACAAAGAATTTGCATTTTTCCAAGAGGCTGTGGAATTGTTTACTGTAGTCAGCTATCTGAGGTGAGGGTTTCTTCCATACCTAGCTACTATGTGCCTGCATTGCACCCCACCTTTTCCTACCAATGTTGAGTGACTGGATATGTTCCCTTTAATATCTCCGGGTATCTGATAGGAGGGAATTGGC